GTCCACCCGTTCATAATGATTAGTCCCCCTTTGGTCCCAGTCTGGTTTGGTGAGCTTTAGCATCTTAGCGAGCTCAGGTTTAAGTCTGGCCACAAAAGCAGACTCCAGCAGGCCATAATCACAATCTTCAAAATCCCTATCGTCCTGCATGTTTGGAACTCCTGCATACTCTTTCCAGGTCACCTTACACCTTTCCTCGTATTCTGGGACTTCCTCTGTAGCTTTTTGACACCAAACCGTAACTTTCGTCCGATCAGTCCTGGCCTGATTTTACCCCTGTCCAGCCAGCTTGCAGTTCCTGCTCGTACGCTCCAAGGGCAGCTTTGATTGCCACGTAGAGAAGGCATCCTTCTCCTCTAGTGATGATGACATTCAGAATCTGTATCCTGTCCCACAGATGGACCATATATATTCCCCATAAGTGGTATAGGTTTTCCCATGTCTTCATTGGCCCCTTCTTTGGGTGCGGCATTTCTTTAGACAATCTGTCTATGTTTTCAGGGGTCGCAGGTCCATGCACAGTGTGTTTTTCAGTCTGTTTTAATGGAACATCCACCTCAGTGCCATCCTCTAACCTTTGCCTTACCACTTTGTCTATTTTTACCTTCTTGGCTTTAAGTGGTCATAAAAACAGTGCCGGGGATATACAATCTTCATCGCTTTCACTGCTAGAGGACCCATCACTTTCATCCCTCTGTTTCCCAAGGGCGATAGCTTGGTTTTGCTGAACCACTTCCTGGATGTCACAGTTGGATACAAATTCTGTGTGGGCTTGAGAACCAGGGAAGAAACTGACAGGACTGTTATCTCGTCTTTCAGTTCCTTGTTTTCTTTCTCAAGCTCCTGACTTTTAAGTTCAGCTTTTTCCCGCTTTGATCTTTCCTTTTGCAGCCGTTCATGCATTACTTTTAATTGCTCTTTAAGATGGTTTAATTCACGATCATGGGCTGATCGAGACATGATATCGTTCCTTTGGTAAATTTGCCCCATTAACGCAAGGGACTATTTAATTCTGTGCTTATCTTTCTGTTGGGTGATTTTCCCCAGGCCCGTTTCATTCATCTAGGGTCCACTGTCCTTTGGGAATGTTGTGTTTATGCCCAATTTTGGTTCGGGCTTTCCCTAACGAGAACTGTACATCAACATAGTTTTGTAACTGCCACAGCATTTCTTTCTTGGTAATGTCAGGAAGGGCCAGTCCCCCTTTGGAGGTCATGGGCAGCCAACTGGGATCACCCAAGTACTCACGCTGTGGGCAATTTCAGCCAACTTGGAGCGCTCGAGGTCTGGATGCTTGGGGATTTGAAAATGGCCAACTCACAAGAGGTTCGGGATCACGTTCAGGGACTAGGGTCATGACTTTAAGAAGGCAGTCTCTTACCTTCGGAGTAGTGACAATGACCAGTAAGTTTCGACAGTGATCCAACAATCCTGCTGCCAATGCCAAGTTGTGGGATCGTTCAATAATGACCAAGATCAGTGAGTGGTGAAAATAGCCTCTTTATTGAGCATCTGCAGTGGCACAGTTCAAAGCAGCAATGGAATCCAAAGCACAATTTTATACTAATTAACTAAAAAACCTCTTTGCACATAGTTTTTACATACATTAAAATCTTAGCACTATGGTGTCACATAGTTCTACCTATTGTACACAAGTTTGTGTGACATCTGTCCTGGGGAAGCAGGAAATGGTTTAAGAACTTCCTAAATGCTGGCTGTTAATCCTGATGGGATTAGAATGTCTGTCTGGTCTGAGCTTGTATAATTAAGAGGTGTTAGTCCTTTTTTTATCTTTAAAGTTAGCAATGTTGGTAGAAATACCAGATCTATATGATCTATATAAGTGAGAAATGGAGGTTGTTGTCTTGCTCGCCAAGCTGGCTTGTTTTTGTTCAGACGTTTCATCACCAGGCTAGGTGTTACCTAGCATGGTGACGAAACTTCTGACCAAAAACAAGCCAGCTCGACGAACAAGTCAACAATCTCGCCCACAACCTGAGCTACAGTTCTTTGCTAAAGCCTTAAGTGAGAAATTATACGTGTACTAAATAAAAGTATAGAGGATTTTCAACTGATCTCCTGCAGCTGGGTTGTGAGAGTTCATCTACTATTGACAGTTCCTACACATTCATTCATGCAGTTTCACAGATGCACTGTTTTGATAGTACATTTCTGAAAGGGAGTAGCAGCCCTATTTAATATGTATTTAAAAAATACAAATCTATATGTTAGTATAAGATGGTAGTCCTAAATACAAGTTAGAAATAGCTAGTACAGTGTTATAGAAATAGGTAGTGTATGAGGAAATTTCAAAGAGTTAAAAAGCAGCAGACTGTAGGGACATGCTGTTGGCGGAAACTGTTTGATGTCCTTTAGTCTATTCAGGTCCCGAGAGACAGTTACTCAGGGCTAATTAATATTATAATCTTTCTGTGGTTTCAAATGAATTACGGAGACACATTGGAGGGGATTGTATTGTTCTGAGTAGGTTACAGTATTAACACTTATTCAGGGATAATCTTTGATACAGAAACAAGTCTAAACTTTGCTTGCAGCATGGGGCCGATAAGAATTTAAAGGTGTAAAGAAATAGTCATGAATTGGCAGCCTGGAAGGGACGTTTAATTTAGTTGATCTTGTAAGAGTAAAATGTACTACAAAACCGCAGCTTTTTGAATGAATGGAAGCACAGTATCGTAAACATAGAGTGCTTGTGTGTGAGTTTTAAAGAGAATCATAATACAGTATCTCACACAATTAAATTTAACTTGATTAAAATTAAAATTGAATGTGTATTAATTACCCATTGAAGAGCCTCAATTTTAGAAAGGCAGAAAGGCCTTCATGTAGTTTCCTGCCTTGGACTTGCTCAGGACACAGGCAGAAAAAAGGGAGTTCCTCATCCGGCATCCTCCCCTTCCTTACTAATTACCCACATCCAAACTCAACTTGGGAGAGGGTACTAAGTTCTACCCTGTCATTGATGCTAATGTGCATCCTATAATTCAATCTGTAGCAAGAAGCCAGTCCACTGGAGTGCCATCTCCAGTACCTATTTACTGTTCTTTTTTGGGATGAAACTTTTACTCAATAAATTATCAGTTGGGAAATGGAACACCTTTCCAATTTTGGCACCCAGTATCAGCATCATGCACTCATAGCTCAGACATGTACTTTTTAAACATTTAGATTTGTCAGCAGGATATCATATTTTATAATAACATATTAATATATTAATTGCTTTAAGAATGAAAGCAATTCAAAGTTCATCACACACGAGTATGAAGATTTCAATGCTTTACTAGCTGGCCCCTGATTTTCCGCTCATCATAAAATTGTGCTCATCCAAAGCTCTGCTGTCATATCCTAAAGCACAGTAAGCCTGCGCACACCTCACCTGATCTACATTGACTTCTTACCTCAGTTGTAAATTATAATCTTTCTGTTGAAGTCCCCAGATAGGGTCATAGAGTTGTACACATTGGAAACAGACCCTTCGACCAACTTGACTGTGCCGACCAGGTTTCCTAAACTCAACTAGTCCCATTTGCTTGTATTTGATCCATATCCCTCCAAACCTTTCCTATCCATGTACGTGTCCAAATTCTTTTACACGTTGTATTTGCACCTGCACATACCACTTCCTCTGGCAGCTTGTTCCATGTATGCACCACCCTCTGTGTGGAAAAAGTTGCCACTCAGGTCCCAATTAAATCTTTTCCTTCTCACCTTAAACCTATGTTATTTTTGGACTCTTTTACGCTGGAGAAAGGACTTTGGCTATTCACCTTATCTATGCCCCTCATGACTATATAAACTTCTACAAGGTCACTTCTCAGCCTCCTGCATTCCAGGGAGAAAAGTCCCAATCTATCCAGTCTCTCCTTGTAACTCAAACCTTCCAGTCCCGGTAACGTTCTTGTAAATCCTTTCTGTACCCCTTCCAGTTTAATAGGTCTCTCTCTTCAACACCATTCCCCAGGGCCCTACCGTTAACTGTGTAAGTCCTGCCTCGGTTTGTCTTACCAAAATTCAACACCACACATTTATCTGAATTAAATTCTATCTGCCATTCCTCAGCTCACTGACCCAGTTGATCAAGGTCCCACTGTACTCTTAGATAACCTTCTCCACTGTCCATTATACCACTAATTTTGGTGTCATCCACAAACTTACCAACTATGTGCCCTATATTGTCATCCAATTTGTTTATATAAATGACAAACAACAGTGGACACAGGATCTTCATCAATTCCTATCTCTGTCAAATTCTGAAACCCTACAGCTTGTCAAGTTGTCTGAGCTCTTCAAATTCTGATCTTTTATCCATCTCTGATTTCTTCCATTCTATCACTGTCGGTTGTGCCTTCAGTTGTCTAGGTCCCAAAGTTTGGAATTTCGTCCGTTGATGTCCCTGCCTCTACTCCTTTCCCTCCTCCTTTCAGAAGCTTCAGCTTTTAGTCATCTGTGATAATAAATCATAATGTGTTGTAGTGTGATATTTTTCATGACAAGGCTCCTGTAAAGCAGGTTGGAACATTTTTAAAACCTTAAAGGCATTATACAAATTCAAGTTGTGGTTTATGCATGTGCCTGATTAGCAAGACAGAAGAGAGCACCATAAGAGGACTAGGCTGCCTTAGATGAGTTTGGAAACTTTGTTGATAGAAGAATTTTAATAATGCAAGTAAATAAAGAAAATCTGTCAATATACCCCTAGATATTTTCATATTAGCCTGTTCGTGGATGCTATTACACACCTTTGGAGCATGTGAGACTTGAACCCAGGCCTCGTTGCTCAGAGGGAGGGGTACAACCAGTGCTCTAAAAACCCCACATTCAATACACTCTTATTGAAATCGATTTGTTCCTGAATGGGATACATTGGATTGCCTGTTTTCTATGAATGGGATACATTGGATTGCCTGTTTTCTATGCATGTCCTAATCTGTCATTTTAAAATGAATCAAAACTCTAACTAATGAAAAATTTCTCTTCAGGCAAGCACGCAAGACATCGTTTACCTGGGTAACTGTGAGTCTTTGCACATCGATGCTTATGGTTAATTTGATCTTTGTCTTTGGGATAAACAACCCCAATGCTCTAAATGAGAAAAGTGCTGCGAACAATACAGTAAACATTATTCTACCTTCTGACCGTTCCAATCCACCAGAGGTTTATTTATGTACTGCTGTTGCTGCCATCCTTCATTACTTTTTAATGGCTACATTCACTTGGTCAGCACTGTACGGTGCACAGATGTATGTTCTTCTGGTTCACGTGTTCAAACCTCTACCAAGGCATTTGTTAATATGGATTTCAGTGGTTGGATGGGGTAAGGGATCAGTTAACTTTAAACAATTATTCTTTTATAATAGCTCCAATACTTAGTGAATCTCTTACATAATATTCATGGTATGGTTGAGTTTTTGATCATCATTGTTCAATAAGTACAAGAATGGGAGAACAGCATCTTTGGTTTTGGCCAATCAATGTTATTACTTTTCCATGTTTAATAATAACTCATACACTCTGTTGCGCCTATCGGAGTAAAGCATGATATACCAAAGTAAGAATAATACGAAAATTAATGGAGCATAATTTAACTAATTTCCATAAAGTGAGTTTTGAAACACACGTCTAATCTACATGAACATGTTAGAAATTGTTACATATCTAATGTATTAACGTAGCATAAAAAAATTACATGTAAAATTCAAAGATCTTGATAAACAACTCAAACAGCGTAAAACTTAATACAAAAGCAAATTTTCATATGAGCATTAGAATTAGTAGAAAGAGGGGGCCATTCAGTCCCTCAAGCCTGCTCCTTCATTCAATAAAATCATGACTGGCTGATTATGACTTCAATCCATGCACCCAACAACCTTTGACTCCCTTGCTAGTTGAGTATCTGTCTACCTCTCCATTATAAATATTGATTTACTTTGCCACCACACCTTTCTGAGAAAGAGAGTTTCATAGACTGACAACTCTCTGAAAGAAAAGAAAATCTAATTTCTGTCTTGAATAAATGCCTCCACATTTTTAAATTGAATCACCTCGTTCTGGTCCCCCACAAAAGAGGAAATATCCTTTCAGCATCTCTCCTGTCAAGTCCTATCAGAATATTACAAGGTTCATTAAAATGACATAGAACATTGAACATAGAACATAGAACATTACAGCGCAGTACAGGCCCTTCGGCCCTCGATGTTGCGCCGACCTGTGAAACCAATCTGAAGCCCATCTAACCTAAACTATTCCATTATCATCCATATGTTTATCCAATGACCATTTAAATGCCCTTAAAGTTGGCGAGTCTACTATTTTTGCAGGCAGGGCATTCCACGCCCTTACTACTCTCTGAGTAAAGAACCTACCTCTGACATTTGTCCTATATCTATCACCCCTCAATTTAAAGCTATGTCCCCTCATGCTAGCCATCACCATCCGAGGAAAAAGGCTCCCACTGTCCACGCTATCTAATCCTCTGATCATCTTGTATGTCTCTATCAAGTCACCTCTTAACCTTCTTCTCTCTAACGAAAACAGCCTCAAGACCCTCAGCCTTTCCTCATAAGACCTTCCCTCCATACCAGGCAACATCCTGGTAAATCTCCTCTGCACCCTTTCCAATGCTTCCACATCCTTCCTATAATGCGGTGACCAGAACTGTACGCAATACTCCAAGTGCGGCCGCACCAGAGTTTTGTACAGCTGCAACATGACCTCATGGCTCCGAAACGCAATCCCTCTACCAATAAAACCTAACATACTGTACGCCTTCTTAACAACGCTATCAACCTGGGTGGCAACTTTCAGTGATCTATGCACATGGACACCGAGATCTTTCTGCTCATCCACACCACCAAGAATCTTACCATTAGCCCAGTACTCTGTATTCCTGTTACTCCTTCCAAAGTGAATCACCTCACACTTTTCCGCATTAAACTCCATTTGCCACCTCTCAGCCCAGCTCTGCAGCTTATCTATGTCCCTCTGTAACCTACAACATCCTTCCGCACTATCCACAAATCCACCAACTTTGGTGTCATCCGCAAATTTACTAACCCATCCTTCTACGCCCTCATCCAGGTCATTTATAAAAATGACAAACAGCAGTGGCCCCAAAACAGATCCTTGAGGTACACCACTAGTAACTGAACTCCAGGATGAACATTTCCCATCAACCACCACCATGTGTCTTCTTACAGCTAGCCAATTTCTGATCCAAACCGCTAAATCACCCTCAATCCCATGCCTCCGTATTTTCTGCAATAGACTACCATGGGGAACCTTATCAAACGCTTTACTGAAATCCATATACACCACATCAACCGCTTTACCCTCATCCACCTGTTTGGTCACCTTCTCAAAGAACTCAATAAGGTTTGTGAGGCACGACCTACCCTTCACAAAACCGTGTTGACTATCCCTAATCAAATTATTCCTTTCTAGATGATTATAAATCCTATCTCTTATAATCCTTTTCAACACTTTACCCACAACCGAAGTAAGGCTCACTGGTCTATATTACCAGGGTTGTCTCTCCTCCCCTTCTTGAACAAGGGGACAACATTTGCTAGTCTCCAGTCTTCTGGCACTATTCCTGAAGACAATGACGACATAAAGATCAAAGCCCAAGGCTCTGCAATCTCCTCTCTAGCTTCCCAGAGAATCCTAGGATAAACCCCATCCGGCCCAGGGGACTTATCTATTTTCACACCTTCCAGAATTGCTAACACCTCCTCCTTATGAACCTTAATCCCGTCTAGTCTAATAGACTGTATCTCAGTATTCTCCTCGACTACATTGTCTTTTTCCTGTGTGAATACTGATGAAAAATATTCATTTAGCACCTGTCCTATCTCTTCGGACTCCACGCACAACTTCCCACTACTGTCCTTGACCGGCCCCAATCTTACTCTAGTCATTCTTTTATGCCTGACATACCTATAGAAAGCTTTAGGGTTTTCCTTGATCCTACCTGCTAAAGACTTCTCATGTCCCCTCCTGGCTCTTCTTAGCTCTCTCTTTAGGTCCTTCCTGGCTAACTTGTAACTCTCAAGCGCCCTAACTGAGCCTTCACGCCTCATCTCTACATAAGCCTCCTTCTTCCTCTTGACAAGAGATTCAACTTCTTTAGTAAACCACGGTTCCCTCGCTCGACCACTTCCTCCCTGCCTGACAGGTACATACTTCTCAAAGACACGCAGTAGCTGTTCCTTGAACAAGCTCCACATTTCAATTGTGCCCAGCCCCTGCAGTTTCCTTCTCCATCCTATGCATCCTAAATCTTGCCTCATCGCCTCATAATTGCCTTTCCCCCAGCTATAACTCTTGCCCTGCTGTATATACCGATCCCTTTCCATCGCTAAAGTAAACGTAACCGAATTGTGGTCACTATCACCAAAGTGCTCACCTACCTCCAAATCTAACACCTGGCCTGGTTCATTACCCAGTACCAAATCCAATGTGGCCTCGCCTCTTGTTGGCCTATCTACATACTGTGTCAGGAAACCCTCCTGCACACATTGGACAAAAACTGACCCATCTGAAGTACTTGAACTATAGTGTTTCCAGTCAATATTTGGAAAGTTAAAGTCCCCCATAACAACTACCCTGTTATTTTCGCTCCTATCCAGAATCATCTTTGCAATCTTTTCCTCTACATCTCTGGAACTTTTCGGAGGCCTGTTCTTCTAAACAACAATGGGCAGAGGCCCAGCCTGTCCAGCCTTACTTCTCAACATAAACCAACTCCATCCCAGGTATCAATCGAATGAATATTTTCTGAACTGCTTCCAATGCATTCATATCATTTCTTAAATGAGGAGGCCAAAACTAGGCATAGTATTGGTTGTATCAATGTCCTGTGCAACTGAAGCATAACATCTCTATTTTTACGTTTCATTACCCTTGTAATAAGCAATAACATTCCATCTGCCTTCTTAATTACTTGCTGTACTTGTATACCAACTTTTTGAGGTTCATATGCTGGGATACCTTTGTACCTCAGAGTTCTGCAATCTCTCTCTATTTAAATAATGTCTTTTTTTTGTAATTTATTGTAATTTTTAAAGCTGTTTTCAGAAAGGTGGAGGATAGGATTTTATGTACTTTTGAACGGTCACAGAGGGTTCCAAATGTGATTGGTAACGGGGAGATAAAATAAAGAAAGACATGCATATACGTAGTGATTTTCACAACTTCAGAATGCCCCAAGGTGCTTTAACCTAAGAGAAGTATTTGTGAAGTGTAGTCACTACTCTGTAGGAAACATGAAAGCAACTTCTATGCATGTGGCCAAAATATTCCAAGCACAGTGATCTGTTATTAAGACCTCTGAAGTTTGGTAAAGATTTTCCTTGTGATTTTCTCTAAATTTTCTTACTGAGACTTGCACTAAATCATAGAGATGTCTATTTCAACACATTCCTTTTATTTTCCAGATTCCCATCTGCTTCTACCCCGACAATCCCACAGCCCTCCCCAAACCCATGCATACATCTGTCACACCTCATCCAATACACTCAAAATATCTGAACATACAATCACAGAATTGTAACAGAGCAGAGCAAGGCCATTCAACCTATCATGTCTGCCCTTGCTCATTAAATCAGCATTGTAAGTGAATCCTTTTCCCTATGAACCTGCATGTTATTTCTTTCCAAATAATCATCCAATGACCTCTTGATACCTCATTTAAACGGGTCTCTACTGCACTTTGAGGCAGTGCATTCCAGACTCAAATCACTCATATGAAAAAGGTTTTACTCACATTGCATTTGCTTCTTTTGCAATTATGTTTTAGCCATCTCCTCCGTTTTTGATCCTTTTTTTGAGTGGGAACAGTTTCTCCCAGCTATTTGGTTCAGACCCCTCATGGTTTTGATAATTTTTATCAAATCTTCTCAGCCTTCTTTCCCCCAACAAAACCAGTCTCAACTTATCCAATATATCTTCATAACTGAAGTTTCTTATCCCTGGAATCACCCTCAGGAACATCATCAGCATTGCCTCCAGTGCACCCGTATCCTTCCTGAATTGTGGCATCAGAATTGTGCAGAGTACTCCAGCTGAGGTCTAACCAGTGTCTTACACACATTTAGCATAACCTGTTTGCTATTGTTTAACATAAGTTCTTTGCTTTGAGCTCTATGCAAATATTAGTGAAGCCTAGGATACATTAGTTGCTCTCTCCACCAGCCCCACCACCTTTAATTACTTATCTAAATATACGCCCAGGCCTCTCTTCTGCACACCTTTAAATATTTATAGTAGCCTCATCAAAAATATTTCCAAAGCACATATATAGGGGAAGAATATGACATGATATTTGATAACTCTTCAGCAACAAGGGAATGGGTTACACATGCTAGATGACAGACATCAAGTGTCATGAATAGAAGACTGTTACATTTGTATATAAACCAAGCCAACCGTAAAAGGGCACTACACTGTATTAAAGGGATTTGGATCACAAAAGTTTTGTATTTTTCTTTGCTGTTAATTTAGTTCTAATGATAAAAGCTTATAAAAATCTATTATTTTGTAAATAATTGATATTGCAGCATTAAGTAGAAATGTAAAACTTTCCTTTTTTGTGGGCTTTGGTAGATTTTTTTCCCCCAATAAAAAAAAACTCTGAATTTTATTTGGTCAAATTATATTTCTGAGAAAAAATATTAAATCTTATAAGTAGAAACATAATTTTGTTTTAATAATGTATTCTTCAGGTCTTCCAGCAGTTATTGTTATTATAACATTAGCAGCTACTTACAAAACAGAAGATGCACTGAATTATCGGCAAGAAGAATTGTAAGTATATAATCAATGTATATTTCCAATGCGTTTTAACTCTTATAACTTATAATATATTAATAAATCTTCCTTGGATTAATGATGATTAGTCTGGGGCACAGATTGTGATTCAGTGCATGAGTACATTGTACCATTATATAGTCTTGAAAACATTGTGTTCAAAAAACATAATATGATGGAGCTGCTTTGAAAACTATTTTGCCAAATGCCAAAATTATAAATTAATGTAAATCAAAAATATTAATTGTAGCTAATAAACAAATTCTGTGTGAAGATGATTTCCTAACCACAGCTGTTAACCTTTACACTTCTGTTTAACTGTAATCTTACTAAAGCAATTCATGTGATTTTACTTTATGTCAGGTAGCATTCTGTTTCAGTGCAATCAACTCCTCATCATTCCACACCACTGTGCTACACAAATATCCAATTAACTGTCAAAAGTAAACTTTAAATGGTTAAATGTCACATTGTTTAAACTAACACACTAGTTATACAATTAAAAAGCATTGCCAAAGCATGCACATATGCCACTTATTATTGAATTCTACAGGCTACACAACAAAACAAATGTATTACTCATCATGTATTACACATGTATTCCTCATAGAAACAAAAGAAATTAAAATATAATTTCAAGTTTCTCACATGCAAATATGTCTTCTTGGGAAATTATATACATTATTTTACAATGTACAAAATAAAATTAAGTTTGAACATGAAATTGCAAGATATGTAATTGTCAATGTGTTTATGTTGTTAGGAAACTTTATTTTTAGTGCTATTGTGATGAAGGTTAATAAAATATTATAACTTGTGAACACGGGTTCTAAATTGGAGAAATTATGTATAGCTTTTAAGTTTGATGTGCATTTTTATATTGAGCATGTTAAGAAAGGACATAGTTTTAGTTTCATTTTTGAGTTCTTAGAGTGCCACAGTGTTGTCTGAAGGTTTGTTTACGCATACTTAAATGAGCTTTTTAAAAACCTTGAGGTGAATGGTCAGTCCATTTGAAACTAAGTGATGAAACAAAGGTATGTTGCCTCACAACGAGTGTTGTATATTACAGAGAAAGAAACAAATTTAATTAGAAAGTTGGCAACACATTTCATTTAGACAGAAGCAGGTCATTTAGAGAGAAAAAAACCTGTAAGAGCAGCAGTGCAATTTAGCAGCTTCCAAAACAGTCAGGGCAAAATAGATGTCCTGAATGGCTTAGACACTAATAAGAGAAAAGATCCAGAAACAGAAGGCTTTAAGGTGTCAAAGAGAAAGATCTAGTACAAGGCTGATGAATAAATAGACATAAGGAATACTTGTAAAGAAGGGGGCTGTGCTTGCAGTTTGTGTAATGGTTTCAGGAAGGGCCATTAACTGAGGAAAATTGCTTCAGGTGAATGCAGAACTTTGCTGGAAAGAAACTGATTACAGTCATGCCAACTGAACAAGAAGGTGTAAAGTGGAGACAGAGTGATCTTGCATTAAGGTTGAGTATCTGTAAGGTTATTGTTGAGGGTATAAGGATTGAATTTCTATTTCTGATATTTGTAGTAAGACTGTTTCAAATTGTTCTTGTGTATTTCAATAAAGCTATCAATTTGTTTTTCCTTTCGTATGTAATAAACTTCCATAGCCTTTTGTAAAAAGTGCTTTGGTAACTTTTGCGAAAATGTCCAGTGATTGATCACTATGGTAACAAATAATCCACCAAAAGTCCTAGAAGGACAAGGCAACGGATACACGTGAACACCATCACCTGCAAGTTCCCTTCCAAGCCACTCACCATCCTGACATGGAAATATATTACCATTCCTTCACGGTTACAGAGTCAACATCCTGGAATTTCCTCCCAAAGGGCATAGTGAGTCAACCTACAGCAAATGGACCGCAACAGTTCAAGAAGGCAGCTCACCACCACCTTCTCAAGGGCAACTAGGTTGGCTATTGCGTGCTGATTAGCCATCAATACCTACATTCCACGAATGAATAATAAAAAAAGGGCTATCAAGCCAGATTTCATTCTGAGATCTCCTTTGTCTAGTTTTACCATCAGCTGAGAACATAACATTATGGGCAGAATTCTCCCAGCCTCTGAACATGGGCATTGGATGAGTCAGTTGGGAAAACATGGCAAGATTGGAAAACTGAGATTCTCAATGTCATGAAAAACGTCAGATTTTAAATCCAAGGTTTGAATGACAAGACAAAAATTTCGCCAGTGAGCATCGAGATTACTATCAGTCAGGGATTTCACCACGGTCAGTCCAGGGCAGCATCCAAACTCAATCTAGGGGTTTGGAAGCAGTTAGTTGGCCACTTGGAGTGGTTAGGATCAGGGGTTCCATAGCATTAGAGTCCAGGGAGTGATGCTGAGTCCTGCTGGTGCAATGCAACCAATTAGGGATTACTAGTAAGAGATTCAGAGAGCTATGTAGAAATTGATTAGGGGCCTGGACATTCACCAATTGGGGTTCATGTTGCAAATTGGTGAGGGGGTGAGCCATGGTCATCGCTAGGCATATGTTCACTGGAAGTCAAAATGGATGTAAATAGCCATTGCTGTGGTAAGGATATTAGGGGAGTCAATTTTGTGGACTGGAGGCAACATGCTGGGCCTCAGAGGGGACAATAATTGTGCCAACATAGAAGAGTGAGAGACAATAGTGTTTTGGAGGATATGGGTTACTGTATTTTGGAGCATGGTCATCAACAGTGACAACCAACTGGCTCTGATACGGAGGACAGTGCATTACAATTGTTGTCATGGCTAAGCTGTAGGGTAGAGGCTCAGGGGCTAATGAGGGAAGGTGAAGTTTGACATAAAAGTGTTGAATGGGAATGTGGGTGAGCTCAGAACTGCTGCAGTTGGCAGGGAGTGCAAGGAAGAAAGGAACATGCTGGTTTAGCTGGGGGTTAGGGAATGTGTTAGGTTACCAGGATAAGCCTACTTCTGACTCTGCAAAGTATTGCCTTCCATTCTTATCCAAATCATAAATACACAACGGAAATGAAGAAAGAATACCACCACATTGAGAATAGGTGGAGTAAGTAGTTTTTAACTGTCTAAGCATGCAAGTTTTATTTGAGAGCAATTTGTGGCTCTTTAAGGGTACATGCCAATAAAAAAAAAGGGTCTAGGCCCAAAACGTCAGCCTTCCTGCTCCTCTTGATGCTGCTTGGCCTGCTGTGTTCATCCAGCTCTACACCTTGTTATCTCAGATTCTCCAGCATCTGCAGTTCCTACTATCTCTGACACAAGCAAACTTGATCAGGTCTGTGGTCGTTACAGATCGATCATAATGATTTCTGTAATTAGAAGTAATCACAGATGATCTTAAACGTGTCACCTGCAGGCCACATTTTGCAAAGACAGACCAAGATCTCATATGTTGTACAAAAGTGTGGAGCACATTTCCTCTTGCCTTGAAGAGTAACTATTTGACAACATACTCTTCTATGCAATATTGCTTTTCTTATGTGATGTAGGGGATGGTGGCGGTAGGGGCGGGAGCAAAGTCTCAGTAATCCTATGACAAATATGTTATTTACCCTACATGCTTTTGCTGAATACATCTATGTCAAGGGTCTGTGTAGAGGCAATCCATCATCCTCGTCATCCTCTTTGGCTCCCTGTATAGAGGATTATGCTAAACTATCATTAGTTGTGATGTGAATGCTGACTCCTCACATTACAAAGGACCTGTAGTTTCTGATATTCCCCAACAAACAAAAGCAGAAATTGCTGGAGAAATGCAGCATGTGGCAGCATCTGTGAAGAGAAAATAGAGTTAAAATTTCACTTCAGAACTTCACATCTGCAGTTCTTTGTTTTATTTCTGATATTCTCCGCACAGGTTCATTGGAATCAAGACCAATGGATTCAGCCAGAGGTGAGGTTATTGTCACTGTGGCCTCTGTGCAACAAAGATGCAAAGAAAGTGATGTGGACCAAAAGTGTCAGCAAGCTCAGGACTAGAAGTAACCTCCAGCTACTGAACTGACTCCATATGAAGAAGTTGCAGCTGAAGGTTCTCTCAGGACGCACAGGAGGTACAGGAGGTCAAGACTCTATTATTCTTGATGCCACCTCCTGTAGTTAAGTGAGGCAGATAGCCACCATGGAAAGGGAATGTCCTGGATGACCACCACAGAACTGTGTCGTTTGTTAAAGCAGGACTTGTGACCTGTATGGATCGGTAACCATTCTCTCCCAAGTGGCTGCCAAGGGGACAGCTGTGCTAAATTATTTGCAACTTGCTGCTTTCAAGGATTTTTAAAAACTTATTCACTTGTTGGATGTGGGTGTCGCTGGCTGGCCAACATTCATTGCCTGTTCCTAGATGCCATTGAGAAGGTGGTAGTGAGTTGCCTTCTTGAACTGCTGCAGTGCCTTTGTTGTAACTTGATCCGCAATGCCCTTAGGGAGGAAATTTCAGGATTTTGACTCAGTGACAGTGAAGGAACAGCATAGTGGCTGGGGCAGCATGGTGGCTCAGTGGTTAGCACTACTGCTTCATAGTGCCTGGGACCTGAGTTTGATTCCAGCCTTGGGCAACTGTCTGTGTGGAGTTTGCTCATTCTGCGTGGGTTTCCTCAGGGTACTCCGGTTTCCTCCCGTAGTCAAAAGATGTGCAGGTAGATGGATTGGCTATGCTAAATTGCCTATAGTGTTCAGGGTGGAAAATGCAGGGGGTGGGTATGTGTAATTTGCTCTTTAGAGGATCAGTGTGGACTCGATGGGCCAAATGGCCTGCTTCCACACCTGTAGGGATTCTATGATGATGGTAACTATCAAGTCAGGATAGTGAGTGGCTTGGAGGGGAACTTGCTATTGGTAGTTTTCTAACGTACCTGCTACTTTTGTCCTTCTGGATGGAAGTGGTCGTGGATTTGGAAGGTGCTATCTAAGGATCATTGGTGAATTTCTGGAGTGTATCTTGTAGATAGTATACACTGCTGCTACTGAGTGTGGAAGAGGTGCCAATCAAATGGACTACTTTGTCCTGGATGGTTTCAAGCTTCCTAAGTGTTGTTGGAAGCACCCATCCAGGCAAGTGAGGATTAGAGATAACAAGGTGTAGAGCTGGATGAACACAGCAGGCCAAGCAGCATCAGAGGAGCAGGAAGGCTGACGTTTCGGGCCTAGACCCTTCTTCAGAAAGTGAGGAGCATTCCATTCCACTTCTGATCAGCCTTGTTGATAATATACAGGCTTTGGGGCATCATGAGGTGAGTTAGTCACTGCAGTATTCCTAGCCACTGACCTGCTCTTGTAGCCACTAATTTATGTGGTGAGTCCAGTTGAATTTCTGGTCAATGGTAACTCCCAGGATGTTGTGAGTGGTGGAATTCATTGTTGGTAACACTATTGAATGTCTGAGGTCGGTGGTTAGATTGTCTCTTATTAGACATGGTCATTGACTTGCTACACCACAGTGTAAAGAGGGAATGTGATGGAGGCTGAAGAACTGGGAGAGTGGCAGCAGTCTTCCGAGGAGGAGGATGAAGACATTGAGCAGGAGGAGCATCGTCTTTACCATGATAGAGTGGTGCCACATTGGGTGCTACAAGCTAGGACTTAACTGACACCCAGTGTAGTTGGGTGAATTGGTCTTTCATTGACTGTAAAACTGTTGTTGCTTGAAAGGCAAAAGGTTCTTGTTTATTCCAAATGCAGCTACTTTTGCTTGTGTTTTATTTTGCTTTTCCTTTTGTTCAATAAATGTGAATGTTTTCAACCATTTGAAGGCTCTCCAGCCTGTGATACTTGTGCATTGAACAATGGGAAGCCATGATTTTTCACTGGATGTTACAGAAATAGTAGCAGTCCCTTGGACAGGTTTTTAAACACGGTATGGTTCTAACCATGAGTAATCTGTGTAGCTTGATTATTGTAGCTAGTTGCAATGACAGTGAATCAGAGGTGATGGTGTAATGTAATAATACACTGATGAATATGAGCTTCTATTAGCAATGGAGAGTCACTGGTGTCAACTATATGCACTCAGAAGCTGTTCTTTTTCACTTCACTCCAACCACATGAACTGTAAAGGGCTAGTCATGGATAGTAACAATTGACCTGGTACAGAGTTGACCTTTAAATATGGCACTAGTGCCAAGTTCCTGGGAGTTCCTAACAGTGACAAGTACTTCTGATATGCACATGACAGAATGAGTGCAGCACTGTAGAGCTGGTGGTGCATACATAACGAGGTGAGCAATGGAGGATTACATGAGAAAACTCATTAAGGTCTCTCCATGAAACTCCTCAAAACTGACAATTTGCTGATTTTGGTAAAATCCAGCCAATTGTTTTTGTTGCTATATTTTCTTCATTTAGCTATAAGTGGATAGAAATAATGATTCTGGTATCATAGAGACATCAAAATGACATATTTCACATCTTATAATTAATTGCATCTGTAAAATTATTTTCTGTCTTTTTAATTACCTTAAATAATGTTTTACTTGGAATCCTCTATTTTTCTCAAAGTTGAGTTTATATTCATCCTGGATATGTTACTCTGTCAGATGAAGGCAAATAACAACCACACCTATACTTTCAACTCCCAACATGCAAATGACTCTACATGTCAAGTCCTGAAATTATCCTTCTATGCATTGGTATAATTTTGTCAACTGACTGAAGAACAAATTGAAGCATGAACATTTCTAGGTTACAACAGTAACCCTGTTTTTTAAAAAAAAAATTTGAAAACTAGCTGAAGCACGAACAGGAAACTTATTTTCAAGAGCTTATTTTACTTCAGAACTAGAAGTTAGTAATTTGCAACATGAGAGATAAATGCAGAGAGTTAAATCTTTATCCATTTTAATAGATTTTAAATGTTTAGAGCATCTGTTTTCTTTTTATAAAGATGATTCAGTATTCATGTAAACATAATTTTTATTTTGTAGCTGTGATATATGTTTAATTATTCAGCAAGAAAGGCCAAGAAAATGATGAACAATTTATTTCCTCAAAGTTAAATTTTAAAATAAAAATTCTTGTTTTACAGTCTCTGGAAAGGGCATTTGGAAATTTTCACTCCGGCTGTGTAACCCTGTGGTGGTTCTATAGCCCAGCACCTCATCTTTCATTTTCATCAATCAAACTTCATGAATTCCACTGTACAGAACTAATTTAATAAGAAAAAGAAAGCTAATTATTTGTAATTTTCGGAAAGTCATTATTATGCTTGTAATCTCTAAACTGTCTTCAGAATCACTTATTTAAAAACTAAAATTTTTTTAAAAAGCTAGCCTGATTGATTTGAGAGTTTGCACATCAACAGGGTCATTTTAGCAGGATCATTTTAACTAGGGATGGGCAAGAAATTTTGGCCAGTCAGCGACGCCCACATCCCACAAATGAATTTTAAAAAGTAGACTAATTGAGTGGCTAGAATGTACGGTTGAGGCAAGTGACATTATACATTTAGGGAAAGCTAGATAAATACCTGAACAGAATGGGAAACTACTTTGACATAGTTAGAAGGTTGGGAAAGGTGTTGGGAGGAACATAAACACTGACATAGGCTGATGAGTCCAAATGACATTTTTCTGTGCTGTTTTCATACCACGTAAATAAAATATTTTAGACAAGGGGTGTTTCACACTCAAAGCATCATTTACCATGTATTTGGATTTTAGAAACAAGTGAATGAATCTCCCTTTGTTGCATATTCAGTGTGCTTTATTCATCAAATTTTGCTGTAATTTCTGTTTTTCAGCTGCTGGCTGTCTGGTTTTGATCTACATGGGAAGTTGGAACTGTCAAAGCCAATGCTGTGGGGATTTCTTCTTCCAGTTGCAATATTACTACTATTTAATTTTGTCATGTTTGCCTTAGTGACAATGTTGGTACTGTTCAACAAAGACCATAGTACTTGCAGGTAATACAAAATATTATATATTAACTTCCTTTGAAGTGATGAGAAATTCAATTTTTCTGAACCCAACAATGCAATCCACATTCAGATAATCCTCCCTGATCAAAAAGTTTGAACGTATTGGCTCACTTCTGTCAGTATTAAAAGCATCATTTATTGACTTGGAGATTTTGTGTTGATATTGCTGTATTTCTGCAACTGAGTTTACTTTTTATCATCCTTCCTTTTGCTCAAGCACTTTAAAATTCAGCTGATCACCAATTCATCATAGATCTTTCAGTCAATGGCACAGAATGTAGAAGTATTCCACCACAATCTTTCTATTACTTTTGGTAACCAGCAATGTTTGTTTAGTTATGATAAACAGTTAATTGCTTCCAGGTCAAATGCACCCTTCAAATGCAACTCATTTGATTCCAAATTTATTTTAAATTTTTATAAATTAATAATTTTTGTTGAGAATTCTCACACTTTAAAATTGATATTTGTCTCCTAACTGCCATTAAGAAACTCCCATTTATAAATAATGTTTCAAAGCTCAGGTCAGCTTCTTTCTCTGGAAAGGAAATGAAAATCATGATAAGTCACTCCATGCCATTGCCAGAAACAGTATGTAACTAGTTCTACCAGAGTTATAAGGTCTGAAGCCATTTGATGAGTGTGAAACAATTACTCATTTGATATGTGAACCAGGCTATAAAGATCACTTTAACATTTTACTGAAAGATACTGAAACATCTCCTGAAAATAATTGATCAAAATTAGTAAAATACTTTCGTATTGGCAAACACATGATTAATTAATGTGTTCTTTTATAGTGCAAAACAGGCTACGTCAGCAAAGAAGATGATGGGATCCTTATCAGTAGCCGTTGTGCTTTGTTTAACGTGGAGTCTAGGTTATTTGATGCTCATAGAGCGTGATGAAACACAAGCTATGTTTAGCTATATCTTCTGCGCCCTTAATGCCACTCAGGTTTGTAAATTTTCTTCCAGAAGTATGAAATACAGCTTGTTGTTGCTGATAATGATATTGGACAAAGGTAAAATCTTTCTGCTTTTGACAAAATAATGAATAAAGTGTAGCTGATGGCAAATCTTAAGATTGTAAGTTTGGGCAAATGCTTAAAGAAAATTTAGTTTCAATGAGGAAGAAGAAATTGAGTTACTGTATTGGAAAAGCATATAGATGTAATCTTTTGATTCCCTGTGAAAATCAACATATTAAAAAACATACTAAACAACCCAAATGGAGGAAATTGATGCGCAACATTTTACTTTTTTCATTTACTTAATAATCAAACCAAAATTAACATAAATAAAGCACGGATTTACAGCAAAACTGTATTTAATAGAAATTAACCGAATGACGTTATAACTAGTTGTTACAACAAAGGTAGATCACATGGATTTACTGGCAGTTCTACATATTGCCAAGGCACTACTGGGCTGGTGTGTGTGTGTGTGTGTTTTGTGGGTGGGGTGGGGTGTGGGGATAGGTCTTAACGTTGGCAACAGACACTGGCAGTTCCCCTAAAAGATGTTGCACCACATTCAGCTACAAACTCCTTCAAAACACTATTTTCCTCCATATAAGGTGTACAGTTCCTTTATTTTGAGACAGTAGTCATCTTCCAACAATAGCTTTACTCCACTTGATATCCACAGGTCTGCATTCCTCCCAAAGGTGCATTTTCCAGATACTTGCCCAGTTATGCCCATATTTATAACCATTTTGCCATGACTGACTCCTCCTCATAGCCTGCCCTGCCCTGCACACCACTGGGAAAATCAGTTCAAGGCTCTGTCTTCCATCTACAATCTCCCCAGCAACATGAAATTACAGGCAGTCCCAGTAGGTCTTATGATGGAAGATGATGGCAGGAAAGGCAGATAATCAGGGAGGTTGGCACCGACATTACCAGCCACCTCAAAAATTAAGATCTAGGTGGCAAGGCCCGTAGTCGACCTTCTTGACTTGCTTCCAATTTAATGGGTCTAAAATGGTCAATGAACAAACACTTCAGGGTCTCTTCACACCACATCCCTGGTTAACTCTGTTCCCAGCATGCTAGAACAGTGGTAGCCAGTTCAATGAATATGACAGATTGGCCTGCCTGCCAGGTTGGGAGGGGGTTAGTCCTGAAAGACAATCCCATGCCTTTGCCTCTGAACTCCCTCAATGCTGTCTCCTCATACCCCCACCCCACAATACCCACGAAAAGCCACTTAGCTTGTCCATTCCTCCAGGACATGAGTGTATCTGTGCAGCCTGTTACCTCAGCCTCTACAGCAGCACATCTACTCACAGTGGCTGCTAAAAGCAGCGAGAGGCAGAGATCTTAACTGGCATCATCATCCCAGGAAATGTTGACCCAAAAACCTTGCTGGGCAACCACCTAGTTGGAGGGCTTTTTTGTTGGCGGTGCTAGGGTATATCCCACACGTTTTGGTACCCATTCCCACACTGTAAAGACAATTTGGAAAATCTTGGTTTAATTTCTCTTTCAGTTGGGCTCTTTCTTAAACAACAATCAGGCTTTGAGATGAGAGGGATGCGGTGGGTAGCCATCAAACATTAGGCAAGCCAGCTATCATTCCAGAAAATAGCTCTCATAATAATCCCACTGCACCATCAAACCATGGATTTCAACACAATAAGCAGAATATTTACTGTCACTGCAGAATCAGAGGACAATTTAAAACATTAAAATGTTTAACTCAAACTTAAAACTCAAAGTCAAAGAATCAAACTTTCATAAATGATGATTAATGTTTATAAAGTAGGGATTGCTTGGCTATCTAGTTATGACGAGAATTGCAAATTATTAGGGTAAACATTGCCCAAAATGATCAAATGTAGTAATCCACGTGTTGTTGGACAATGGTACGCTGACTGTACTAACTTTGCAGTATCAGTATCCTAAGGTAAACTGTGCAAGGCTCTCAAAGCAAGTGTTTCTTGGTGTCCAATAGGGGAAATAATGCGTGCGTGGTAAGTCATCAAATTTCGAATTAAACAAGATATTGAACATCTCATGGACTGCACAGGAACTGTTGGTGGAAACAGACAAGTTGAAAATGACAGTTTAGAAATTTGAACTAGAAGCTTGCCTGAATTATAGCTCTAACTAGTTGGGTGATGTTCATGATTTCCAAATATCTTGAAAGATAGGACACTACAGGGAAGCCAGGAGTTCCACTTAAGAGGAGAATGTGATTTATATAGACCTGTAAGTGGCAGTGAGGGAAAATCATCATTCAAACCACCCTGTCTTCTAAGGAGAGGTTGAGTAAATTGGGCCTGTACTCATTGGAATTTAGAAGAATGAGGGGCAAAGTTATTGAAACATACAAGACTCTTAGGGGATTTGACAAGGTAGCTGCAGAAAGGTTGTTTCCTCTTGTGGGAGTCTAGGATCACAGGGCACAATTTCAGAATAAGGGTTTGCCATTTTAAGACAGAGATAAGGAGGAATTTCTTCTGTCAGAGGGTTGTGAATCCATGGAATTCTTTCCACAGAGGAGTGTTCAGGCCGAGGTAAGTATATTCAAGGCTGAGGCAGACATATTTTAATAAGTAAGGGATTCTAGGGTTACAGGGAAAAGGCAGGATTATCAGATCAGCCGTGATTTCATTGAATGGTGTAGCAGACTTGATGGGCTGGAAGGTTCTGCTTCTGCTTCTGCTTCTACATCTTATGGACTTACGGTCTTTCCTCGCAATAATAATATCTGATGGGAAATATACTCATCAAGGGTTAAATGGGGCAGAAGAATCACTTCAGAGTTATATTACAATGAAATGTATTAACTAAGTCTATTGGCAACAAGTGCATGAGTCATTATTTATTCCCCAAATAGGTGCAGCTCTAATAAGGCTACATTTATTGCTTATCTCAAGTTAACTTTCACTTGAACCATTGCAGTCTTTATGATAATCATAACAGTGAATGCTGGAAATATTTAACAGGTCAGGCAGCGGTTTAAATATATCACCCAAATTACTCAGAGGTTCATGCAGGCACAACAAATATTAGAGTGAACATTGATTCTGACTCAGAGATGATGAAGGATCAAAAAGAAATAACCAAGTAGGGATACTTAAGAGGGAAATGTGTGTAGGAGATGTCATGCCCACAAGAATGCTACTCTTTCAGTGTAACAGAAATTGCATGGCTTGCATGTGCTTCTGAATAAAGTCTGGTGCATTGTTACAGTGAATTGTACTGGCTGAATTTTTGATATATGGATCAGGATTGTCTAATTGATGCCCAGCTTATTGAGTGTCAATACAATTGTGTCCATATAAGTGAGTGCTGATCATTTTATCTTAATGTTGAATTGAATTGCGCAGATGATGACTAGGCATTTGGGGATCTGGAAGCGAGCCACTTAATACAAAGGGCAGAATCTTATAGTTGTCTGAGCACTGTGGGCTATGCCGAGATGTGTGGCACAGTTGGGTGAGATGTTTGGTGAAGACCATCTTGACATATCCAGATCATCTTGCTGCAACTTTAATATTTTTCTCAAGTGGCTTTGACGTGTTTTTTTTGCTAGACAGAAGCAAATTGATGCTTATGTTTGTTAAACACCTTGCTAACAGCCCAATTCACCACATTAATATTCTGGTTGTGATCTTATCAAACTTGCCAAACACATTAGTCATCAGGATATGGAAACCAAAGCAGGTCCTTGGTGTGTTCAATTTGTCACTTACTCCAAATGTCCTCCCTGTTGGATACTGAGCACCAGCATCTCAGGGCACACTCCATGGGCACTGGCCACATGCAGCCCATGTCCATCGGCATCTAATATCTTCCAGCTTCCAAGAACTCTCATGATACATGACAGGACACTTCTACACTTCAGTGCTGTACCTCAGGCTATCGTTGTAACGCTGCAGCAAAGATATTGTGCGCTCAGGGTCACATACCTGAGAGAAAATATTGAAACTTGTACTGGTGGAGTGGAGAAGTTCATTGATATTCTTCCTCTAGTTAGATAATTCTCAAGATGGCTGAGACGGCTTCTCCTGGATGGTCCAGGATGGCACGGTCTGTTAGCATAGCCTCCATTGCTTTTGGGGAAAAGGAAGTCCCATGTCTGCACCACCCAGACCAGCTGGAGCTCCTTGATCAAATCCATAAAGCAGGGCATTGATTTCCCCCTGTTTGCCATGTCTAGAGCAAATATCAGGAATAGTACAGGGCAGCTGCAGACTGACAGTGCTAGTCTGAGTGCACAGTGGGGATGCTGATCAATTCTGGAATATCTGGTGAGTGGCAGGTTGTTCTGAAAACAATGAGTGGTAAGACTGGACGGAAATCGAATGCAATACTTGACATATGGGTAGGAGCAGCAATTAAAGTGTCAAGTTTGGTAAGATTTAAGGAGAAAACTTGCTTGGCGTCGTGGTAAGAATCCTTCCACCAAAGTCAATGCAATTTTCATGTAGCCAAAAAATGTAAGACTTAGCCCATTGAATTCAACCTCTGTACATATGCTCATCACCAAGATGTATGTATGTCAGAGATGTTTTAAGCTGTCTTCCATTGGATTACCCTGCTTCCCCCTGCCTCCGGCAGTGTCTTGTTTGCATGAAAGATGAGGTGTACCCTAGAATCTGTGGGAAGCTAAGGAAGAGATTTCTGGGCCCCTTGCTGAGATATTTATATCATCGATAGCCACAGGTAAGATGCCAGAAGACTGGAGGTTGGCTAACGTGGTGCCACTATTTAAGAAATGTGACTGGATTAATTTAGGATATCTGGTTGGCATGGACGAGTTGGACTGAAGGGTCTGTTTCCATGCTGTACAGCTCTATGACTATATTTGACCTCCGTGTAGCTGACCTATTTCTGCTTTAAAACACCTTTCATTAACATCTATTTTTTGTCCACATTCCTTCTCTACTTCCATTAGTACTCCCTTTGCCTTTTGCTCAGATGCACCTTCACCATCTGTTCCAGTTCTTTCACCCGGCCCCTTTTTCTACAGCATTAAACCCATCAATTTACCAAATAAAAACTGAAAGATCTGCGGACACTGAAAATCAGAAACAAAAACAGAAATTGCTGGAAATGCTCCGCAAGTCTGGCAGCATCTGTGAAGAGAAATCAGAGTTAATGTTTCAGGACCGGTGACCCTTCCTTGTTCTGAGGAAGGATCACCAGACCCGAAACGTTAACCCTGATTTCTCTTCACAAATGCTGCCAGACCTGCTGAGCTTTTCCATCACTTTTCCAGCTCTGTTTAGTCCTAAAGAAAGGCCATAATGGACTCAAAATATTAACTTTGTTTTTTTCTCTCTACAGATGCTTCCAGATTTGTTGAGTTTCTCTGGCACTATCAGTTTTCGTAGTTCATATGTCTGGGCCATTTGAAATGCTAGTTGATGTTGTTTAGAAGGGGTTCAGCAATGATAGTGCTGTTGACGATCATAGAGAGCCAGTCAGGACTTCTGACACAAAAATAGAA